CGGTGTTAGCTTCACCAAAGTGACCTGTTTGGGGCACAAGCCTGGGCAGTGTGTATGGGCATCCTGGGCTGCCCAGAAAGCATGACCCTCCTCTTGTCCTCACTGATTTGGTCCAAAGGAAAGCAGAGCAAAACATTTGGTATCAGCTTGGCTGCAGGAGTTTCTGGAAGGAGGCGTACAAAGCACCACCCAACCATCTTAGGGACGCTACTCTGCTTTTGTGTAGAGTTTACTCCTTAATCTTTTCTTCAGATATCCTGCAAGGCAACTGTCAGCCTAAGACCAGCTGGCGAAAGGCCTACAGTAATGCAACTCATTTAACCACTCACAAAACTTGAGTTTTTTGCATGGTTAAGGGCAGGCACTAGGGCTGAGTGTGGCTCTCATGCCTTTAACTATAGTGTACTATCTGTTCGACTTCCAAAATGTTTGGAATCCAAAGTGCGGCTTCTGATTGGCTGCAGAAAGCTCCTGCAGCCAATCGAAAGCTGCGGAAGCCATGTTGGATGTTTGGGTTCCAAATAACGTTCGCAAACCACTTCTAGGTTTGCGGCGTTCAGGAGCCAAAACCTAGTACCAAGGCGTTCGGGATCCAAGGTACGACTGAGGGAAGTTTTACCTGTTGGACTTACGTCTGTTCCATATCTTATTATTTGTGTGTGGCCTCGGCTTCATTTTCAGCATACCACCCACTTGCAAAAAAGGCACATATTTGCATGTGACAACGTATATGCTGATTTTATGCAAATTTTCAACTTCTTTAGTGAGTGCAGCAGAGGACCCAATCTATATTCATTAAATTGGGAACATAAAAAAAACACTTGTTGGCACCCCTGTTGATAGCACAATGTGTGATGTGAGTTGTGTTGGCATTTTCAAGCATTTCTACGCATGAACATCTGGGTGACAAGATTTCTTTCTCAGGAGGTTTCCGGAGATAATGCTGTTTTGTGGCGTTGCGCACGCTCACTGTTTGCGCGCATTGTGTGACCTGAGGCTTTATGTTATAGAGTCCCTCACAGCAGCTTTGTAACGGTGAAACACATTTAATAAATTTAACATTGGGGTGGCACCTAGGAGCTGGAGCCTATGAAATATTATAAGTATCTAATTTGGCATTTGGCAGTTTATCCAAATGTAAACTGCCAAGGTCAGTCCAAGGAGGAAACGGCCTAGAATCACCATGAAGAATCCATGTCACTATTATGGTCCAAGCCATTAACATATAATTCAACTCAGTCCTCATCTATACCTGCCATGTTCTTCAAAATTCTCAGACTGACCTGAACATTTTTCTCCAGCACATGATCTGCAGCTGATTCTCCTCGATAAAGTGTAAGTTTGCCCACATTGAATGCTACATTACCAAGGGGCTGTGAGACTGTCTCATGTGGCTGTTTCAAAATGCTGAACACAGAAGGCATTTTTATGGGCCACTTCCCTATACAGGGCTGTCTTTGGATGTCTTCTAAAGATTGTATAGTTAGATATTTCCTTGCCTTGAGGGTCGCATAACTTAATATCCTCCAACATTTCTTGGATAAAAATATGGACATCCTACCATACCCCTCTACATGTCACCATTGAAAATAGGGACGTCCTAAGGAAAAGTGGGACATTCTGGGATCAAATCAGAAAGTGGGAAGGCTTCTGTAAATCCCGGACTGTCCCTGGAAAATAGGGACACTTGGAGGGTCTGAGGGCATGACCTCAAATTTTGTCATTCAGCATTTGCATTCAACCCATAGGAAGGCCCCTCCTAGACCGCCTTTGTCTACTAGCCTGTTTAGCTTTTAATCTTTAATATCCATGTTGATCATGAAAGCCACCTTCTTGTTGTTAACATCACAACAACATAGGCCATGCTTTTCCTTTATTTTCTGGATCACTTGTGATGATCTGGTTCATCTGATGAGCGTCACAACATCACGGGATCACATTGTATGGGCTTAATTGCCATCTTCTGAGCAATGCAACACCTCCCCCCACAAACTAAAATGGAGGTTTTTGAATTTGTTTTTAAAGTTCTTTGAAAGAGAGGGGGAAATTGCACATTATTCCCATCTTTATAGATGGAAATGATTTGAATAGCTCTTATGCAAATGGCGCAAGCAGAATAACAATGTGTAAGGCATTCATTGAACTTAGCTATGCTTGCACATTCTTGCTTTGATTGTTCTTCAGAACACATAATTTAGTGAAATGTATCAGTTGCTTTGGTTACAAATGGAAACGTCCACAGAGAAGCAAGTGGAAACTGTGGTTTGTAGCCCCCCCCTTCTACCATTCATGTTCCTTCAACAATGGTATGTATACATTATCACCATGTGGAAATCCTAAATGCACAGGTAAATGGGGAGAGTGGAGTAAGTTTATTTTAATGGACATCAGAGTTCTTTCTACAGTTCCTGAATGTGCTAGTAGTGAATTTTGTGGATTAGTCTAACAATGGGAGTTAATGGTGGCTCTGAAATCTTGGCATTGGTCAGGAAGGTGAACATAGGGGTTTGTGCCTCCAAGCCCATTATGATTTGAGGGGCCACTAGGGGTGCATCGGAAGATGGCTGACAATAACATCTCTCCGACCCACACAAGGTAATTAGGAGGCTGTGATGGGAGTAAAAAAGCCTCCCTACCCCCCCAAGGTTGGGGGGGGCTGCCCATGCCTGCTGTGCCCTATACCACCCCCGAATTTGTGGGGATGGGGGCACTAGGCACAATGCCCTCCTGTGGGATTTCGGCACTCCTGGACGCCGTCTCTGATCCGTGCCGCTAGCTGCAAGAACTTCAAAAGAAACAATTAGGATGAAGCGAATGCACATATTTCAAGGAAGGAGGGGGAGTAAAGACTGCTAACAGAAGAGATCTCTGATAAAACAAGACGAGTCAGAGGAACAAGAATAAATCATCAGAAGATACGCCAAGACTCAGTATGGCAAAGGGACTGATGGGGGAGGCGGAAAAAACTTTCCTTTCTTTTCTCTATGTGATTAAACAAGACCCCCCCCCACAAGTCAGAAATGTCGTTTTAATGACTTAAGCTGTGGATTTATGACTGTGTGGAGATAAATTTTCTAATCATAGCATGTTTTAAGAAGACTGTGGAATGTATAAGAGCTTTGGAATGACGCAGTTAAAAACACCGTCGCCATCTTGGCAAGCTCTGTCAGAGGACTTAAGTCTGGGAGGAGGAACAGAGCTGCTTTTGTATTGTGTGTAAGACTCCTCAGAGGGACTTAAGAACGACAGTTTGCGAGAGAAATGATGGAAAGAGCGATGTTATTTATGAAAGCAATGATATATGGAAACCATCTTGATATGAGGATTGGACGAACGGAAAAATTCACACAGGATTACAATTGGGGTTTATCGGCTTAAGGAGATTATCAGAAGAGATCATAAAGAAAAAAATTAAAAAATATATGAACAAGATGAGATATGGAAACAGTAAGATAAGACTGGACAGAATTATGAACTTTATTTGGACTGATTTGGTTATTAACGCAGCAGCAAGAAGATGATTGGAATCCCCCTTCAGAACTTGAAATATGGGTCCCCTCAACAAAAATTTAAAATTCGGCTTTGTAATTCGGAATTTATGTGATGTGATGTGATTTGATTTGATTGGTCGGTTAATAAATTTTGTTTTTTAAAGCCCATTATGATTTGGTTCTAGACCCTTTTGAGATTTGGGCTCAATTTGCAATGGACTTGACCCCCCTATTTGCCTTCTTTTCCTTCATCTGGAAGGGGTAGAAGAGGCTCAAAGCAGAGCCCTCTGTTAGGGGCTACCTAATGGCAAGTCTTCTCCACTGTGGCCACCAGGTAAGAGAAGGGGATAGAAGGATTGTGTCTGGTGTGGAGAGATGTAGGCTCCACCCTGTACCTTGGTGATATCACTGGGACTGTGACAGGGCTTTGGCTTGGAATGAGATTGAGCTTTAAACACATTGTTTGAACCTGACTTGAATTGGGTCCGAAGTAATTTCTTTTTGGGGTGGTCACTCTCTGAACTGAGCAGCTAAGGTGTATGAGGCTTTCCCATCACTAACAGGATTTATTGCATATTGCTTAATTCAGCATATGCAGAGATATGTGAAAGTATAACAGTAATGTCAATGAAGGGGGGAATAAGCAATTAATTTCCTTCCAAGCCACATAAGTATTAGACTAGAGATAATAATATTACTTTGTATAGCAGAATTTCAGAGTTAATTTAGTTATAAAGCATAGGCCTTTATTTCTAATATTCTTCATATGTGATAGGTGAGATGATTAAATTGCAGATTCTGATGTAAATTAGCTCTGACACATGCAAGTTATCAGCCTGAAGTCAAAGCACACAGCAAACCTCTTTGAGAAGACCTCTGTAGCTTGAAGTATTATCTACATCTCTCTATCTTCATATGCCTTTATGAAGCATTAATTCTTCCGTGGTGGCTATTGCGTGTTACATCAGGATGCCAAATCAAAATGTTTGAAATGAGATAAGGACCACTGGAACCCAAATGGAAGGTCATTGTGTTCTTTAGTCTTTAGAATTCAAATATTCCTGACGTAAGGGACTCTCTTCAGAAATGGGCTTTGGTAACTCAAGTTTCATACACTTTTGACAGTGAGCAACACGCAGGAAAAAAAGTGGTCGTTGCTGACTTAAACTAGGGCAAGGATAACGATTATGCCCATGTATCCATAACCTTTTTACTTTTATTCTCAAACCACCAAACCATAAACCTCTTTTTATTGCTACACTGCTGTTTTTGTCTCTTGGATGTCTAGCCTGTTATGTCTCATACCAATACCCTTAAGGTACTAATAAATCAGCTAGTTCTATTCAGATTTAGAATCAAGCCGTCGCTTAGCATGACATCAGTAGGACAGGAGGAGGGGCACTGTGGCTACAGTTCTGGTTTGCTCGTTCACGCTAAGCCATGGTTTGGCTTAGCGTTACATGTGAAACAGGCTGCACAATATTTTCAAAATATTCTTGAATAGAAACGGAGGGGCGGAAAAAGGCGGCTGCGCGCAGGCACCATGTTTCAGTTTTTGGTTGGTTTTGCACTTGGCAATGTAGTTGGGATGTATCTGGCCCAGAACTATGATGTTCCGAACATTTCAAAGAAGATTGAAGACATCAAGAGAGACGTGGAAGCTAGAAAGAAGCCTCCAAACGACAAATGATGTTTACCTAGCTGTCTCTGTATTAAATGTAGATCATGTAGTTTTGCCACTAGGTCACAGATGCCAAACCTTCATGTGGCTTTTCTGGATTTCCTCCAGATGTGTAGTCTTGAAAAACCAAGCTGCCCTCAGGCTGAAGTGTCACCACATCCAAGGGACCTTCTAGCACTTTCTGGATATTTGACTTCTTTTCTTTCTTTCTTTTTACCCCATGTGTAATAAGAAAAACCATGCAGGGAGAGACTGAGAGATTGGACTATTGTTCTCAGTGTTTGTTTTCAATAATATTTTCTATTCAGTATTAATTTGATTTCGGAGTAGAGTAATGAAATTAATTATTCCAGTGTGACAATCAGTAATGGTCTGGCTGTAGAAGTGACTCATGAAAGAAATTAAAATGCGTCAGGAATTAGCATCCAAAAAAAAAATAAAAAAAAAATTCTTGAATATCAATATATTCATAGTCATTTGCCTAGCTATACCTATTACAAGTGTATTTATCCATTACAGTTATAAAAGGTAAAGGGACCCCTGACCATTAGGTCTAGTCGTGACCGACTCTGGGGTTGCGGCGCTCATCTCGCTTTACTGGCCAAGGGAGCCAGCGTACAGCTTCCAGGTCATGTGGCCAGCATGACTAAGCCACTTCTGGCGAACCAGAGCAGCACACGGAAATGCCGTTTACCTTCCCGCCGGAGCAGTACCTATTTATTTACTTGCACTTTGACGTGCTTTCGAACTGCTAGGTTGGCAGGAGCAGGGACCGAGCAACGGGAGCTCACCCCTTCGTGGGGATTTGAACCGTCAACCTTCTGAGCGGCAAGTCCTAGGCTCTGTGGTTTAACCCACAGCGCCACCCGCGTCCCTCTCATTACAGTTATATCCTACCCTTATTCAAAATAGTTCTGGGTGGTAGTGTCCCTCTCCCAGTTTTATCCTCAAAACAACCCTGTGAGGTACATTAGGCTGAAAGGCAATTACTTACCCAATATCATCCAGAGATGTTTGAATGAAGAATTGACTGCCGCCATGTTGGCTCTCAGTATATGTCATTGTTTCTTGTTTTATTTACTTCATGGTCACTTGACACAAAGGTCTCCAAGTAGCTTCTATTAAAGAAAAGTATACACAAATACATTATAATATAGAGAAAAGGAGGGTCATAAGCTATGTTAATCTTCCAAACAATATATGGATAAACAAAAAGACACCAGGCCCCTAAACAGTGATAAAAAATTGTTGGCAATACTCGAAACAATAAGCAAAGCAATGCTCCCACCCACGAATCAGAAGGTAAATAAAAACTCAACTGCCTGCCCAAAAATCATTCACATCGACCCAAGATTCCTCACCCTTAACCTCCCCACCCAGAAGTCTGGCATCAGGCTAGCTCCTGCAAATCAGCAGTGGGTGGGTCCAGGGTCATTCGGGGATAGTGTGGCATCTTTCCCTCGCCTTTCTGGGGTAGCAGTAGCAAAGCAGGGAGATGGGGGCTGCTGGTGGGGCTGCAGGAAGGGGGTGTTGACAAACTTTGAAATCAGAATAATGTAGAACAGACAGTGGCAGGGGACCACTCTCCGGCACCCGGGGCAGGACACCGAGGGGCGAGGCGAACGACTCGGTGGTGCATGTGTGACGTCTGTATGGACTGCGCATGAGTGGCATCCCGCACGGACTGTGCATGTGCGGCATCCCATACGGAGTACACGTGTGGTATCCCATACGGAGTGCGCACGCACAGCACCCTGCCACTCGCATGGCAACCACATGGGCTGCTCTGCATGCACACTCTATACGGGATGCCGCACATGCACACTGTATGGGCTGCCACTCACATAGGGGTACCTGTACGGGCCGCTGCTTGCACGGCTACCGTACAGGCTGCCATGTGAGCGGCATCCTGTATGGACTGTGCATGTGTGGCATCCTGTACAGAGTGTGCATACGTGGCAGCCCGTATGGTTGCTGTGTGAGAGGCAGCCTGTACGGACACCCGTACGGATGACGCGTGAGAGTTGCAGCCCATATGGACACCTCACGAGCGGCGCCCATACTGACTGCGCGTGACCTCAGCCACTCTACAGCTGAGGGGAGGCAGGGGCTGTCTTGTCACCCCCCCCGAGTGGCACCCGGGTTGCCCCGCCCCCTCCGCCCCCCACTTCATACACCCCTGAAATCAGATTTTTCTCATATTTATCAGACTGTTAAAAGGGACAGTCATCACATTGGAATAGAAGCAAGTGTGGTCTTCATTGTGTAGAACAGTTTTTCATAGAACAGTATTCAAATATGTTTTTCTTCCTCCAGATTTCCAGTTTTCCCCTCAGTTTTTCTGTGGATTAAAACATGGACTAAGGCATTGAAAGTTTCCTTCTCTGTCCAGTTTAATTAAACGGGGAATTGTTTACTGCTTGATCTCTGTCTGTCAGAGGCATAATATCTGGGGACTGTTAGTTCTGGGAGGGAGGGTACCATAAGATATTTATGTGAGCAGATCGTGTTAGTAAAGTGTTTGCCCAACCACCATCTGCAACCAGAATGGGTTAATTTTGTGAAAGAAAAAGTTGTGTGTGTGCGATCGCTTTCTGTGTGTGTCAAGGATGAAATTTATCTTTTTGGATAAAATGTGTTAACTTGCATTCCTGTAAAAGGTTTACTTCATTTGTCAGAATATATTTACTGTCTCAGGAGATGTATTAAATATGTTGAAATATGTTTGCCTTGGTTTCTCTTTGTCATATTTCTTTATATTTTCACTTCCTAGGAAGGCAAGTACGGAAGGGAAATATGTTTTCAGTTTAATGTGATCAAAAGTAACTAAGCGTGCTATGTTTTCCACTTCATTCATCAGGGAGAAAGAAGTTAAAGCTGCAGTCCTGAAGATACTTTTCTTGCGATGTGTCTCTGAGATTTAAGTGGGAGCTTTGCAGACCAGCTCCTGGGCTGCCTCGGCCAGAGCAGTGGGGAGAGGTTGGTAGCACTATTGCTGCAGCAAAAAAATTCAATATTAAGAGGAAGGAGGAAGGGGTGGTAGCAGGGAGGAGGGGCTGCCAGTGCTGCTGCCTGTCTTATCTAAGAAGAAGAAGAAGAAGAAGAAGAAGAGTAGTAGTAGTAGTAGTAGTAGTAGTAGTAGTAGTAGTTTGGATTTGATATCCCGCTTTATCACTACCCGAAGGAGTCTCAAAGCGGCTAACAATCTCCTTTTCCCTTCCTCCCCCACAACAAACACTCTGTGAGGTGAGTGAGGCTGAGAGGCCTCAGAGAAGCATGACTAGCCTAAGGTCACCCAGCAGCTATATGTGGAGGAGCGGGGACGCGAACCTGGTTCACCAGATTACGAGTCTGCCGCTCTTAACCACTACACCACACTGGCTCAAAGAGTGAGAAAAGTGAGGAGATGGAGCAGTATACTCTGAATACCTTCTGCTCTGCCTCTGGGAGGCTGTCCATTGGTCCCAGATTTGGAGGAAGACAGCAAGTGAATGAGCAGCCATGATAGCAGTGGTGTGGAGCTAAGCCTACTCAGAAAGGGATCCCACTCAGGACTGTGGGACTCTCTGAAAGCTTGCATTGGCCCTGTGACTCAACTAGGAAGTTTTCCCATTGAATGTAATGGAACTTACTTTTCAGTTGATGGCATTGAGGTACCATTCTGGCAGATGGCAAGGACTTACTTTGGCAAGCTTTCTCGCATACGTGAGGAATTTCTAGTAGTCTCATCACAATGAGAGAGGTCTGGTGAGACTTGCCTTCGCATTACATGCAAGGTTTATTTATACCTTTTTGTAAAAAAATAAATAAATGTCTACCCTGCCTATTTCTCCAAGGAGACTCAAGACTGCTAACTGGGGGGGGGGGGTCAGATATAACCCCTACAAGCAAAATGCAGTATAGATTCAAAATAATAAATGAGCAATACCCAGCCTGCTTAGCAAATTCCAACAACAGAAAACGGAAGAATGTTCAACAGCCAAGGACTGTCCAGCCAGTAAATAGAAAACCAAAATTTGCAAAAAGTGAGGGTGCCAGAGTGGGAAACAGCTCTCCAATCCAGGAAGGTCAGAGCTAGTGATGGGATTTGGACAGCGGCAGCATCAAAAGCCAGGAGATTTCCTGCTGTGTTTCCTGCTTGGCAGGGGTTGGACTCGATGGCCCTTGTGGTCTCTTCCAACTCTATGATTCTATGATTCTATGATTCTATGATTCTATGAGATGGGGCCTAAGCAAGGATCAGAAGATGGGGGTTACAGTGAAATCAGACACACGAGGGTGTGAGACCTCAAACAAGGCTTGGGGCAAATCAGACAGGAAATGCAAGGCAAGGCATTGAACAGGCAAGCAGGGCAGGGAAAAGAATAAGGCTAGAACAAAAGTCCCCAGAAGCATAATTCTGTACAGTGGTACCTCGCAAGACGAATGCCTCGCAAGACAAAAAACTCGCTAGACGAAAGGGATTTTTGTTTTTTGAGCTGCTTCGCAAGACGATTTTCCCTATGGGCTTGCTTCGCAAGACGGAAACGTCTTGCAAGTTTGTTGCCTTTTTCTTAACACCGTTAATACAGTTGCGACTTGACTTCGAGGAGCAACTCATAGAACGCGGTGTGGTAGCCTTTTTTGAGGTTTTTAAAGACTCTGGTGATTTTTGAAGCTTTTCCAAAACTTTCCCGACACCGTGCTTCACAAGACGAAAAAAATCGCAAGACGACAAAACTCGCGGAACGAATAAATTTCGTCTTGCGAGGCACCACTGTAGTGACAACAATGTACTATGTACACTTTTGATGCATTTCAAAGCAGCACACCTTTTCCTTATTTAAATTTTCACACAATTTCAAGAACCAAATAAAATAAGCTGAAGTCTTACAACCTGGTCCTATGAACCACAGTGTGAGCGCAGCAGCTCCCAGGATTGGGTTCCAACTCTAGCTAGAACTGAATGCGACTATTTTGTTGAACCCAGGAACTATTGCCTGCATAACAGTAACTTGCCAGGGCGGCCGGTCCTTCACACCTCTAATACCTCCCACACACTTGCGTGGCATTGGTGGAGTCCAAGAGAGAGGGCGGTGACAGTGGCAACCATAAGCAGATGTTTCACTTCTCAACACCTGTCAGAATGGCCCTTGGGCTCATTGGTTGGTGCTGCCCTTTGGCAGGAAGGCAAGTGGAGTGGAGTTGCATGGTTTTCTCCAGTTTCCTGCTGCACCATGTTTGCTGTTGGAAAGAAACCGTGCAATTTCACGCCACTGGGGCTGGGCATCCATGGGAAAGCATATGTGCTCTAAGGTACCTCTGGTTCAGAAAAGATCAGGAAAGACCTCTGCGTAAGACCCTTCTGCCACTCACAGTTGAGAATTCTCACCATCAGTCTGGCTCATTTCAAAGCAGTTTCCTATTTTCAGGTTTTATGCAGCA